AATCAGTCAAGATATCAGACCATACTAATATTACAAAGAGGAAAGATTTGTATTTTTGTATATATTGAAATGACTCAAAAACTACTAGGCCCATTTAATTTTACAATATTTTTACTGTTTATAAATTTGGCTGACGAAGTTACGAGCAATAGCATGTATATTATAAAGAGGAGAGATTCGTAGTTTTGTATGTATTGAAATAATCCAAAACAACTGGTCTGATTTTAAAATTTCTTTCGCCATTAAAAAGCTACGTTATCAGTGAGTACCATGCCATTTTTGGTAATCTATACTATCTATAACAATATTTTAAAAGAGGAAAAATGTGTCTTTGTTGATTTGTATGTATTGAAGTGACTCAAAAACTACTAAACCGATTTTAAAAATTCTTTCACCGTTAGAAAGGTAATTTATCTGTGAGTAACATAGGAAATACGACGAAGTCGCGAACAACAGCTAGTTATTTAATAACTTATTACCTGATTCTTATAAGGGCAAAATCTGGTAACTAAACATTTAAAAAAACTGTTATAGGTAACAGTAATACAATATCAAAAATAAATATAATGCAGAAAATTCCCGAAACGTAGATGTTTTTTCCATATGTTATAATGTGCACCTGCTAAAAATTTTTCCTTAAACATATGATTTAAATAAATTGTTACGAATTACGTAAATCAACGTTTTAATTCGCATACCCAACAACATTGACAGCAATATATTATCGAGGACAAGACAGCAGAGCTTAATTTATTACGGTTTAAAAAACAATTACGGAGATTGCACACCATAATCATATCGTCTACTAAAAATAAAATCTATTTTTGAGTACAAACTTAAGAGTAAAATAATTAGAACAATATGTGAATCTCCTTTTTTCAGGAATAATTTAAGAACGACATCTGTTGCCCAAAGGTGACATGAGGTTGGATTCTGAACAACCTACTGATTTTACCGCCATCTAGATTCGATAGTTCACAATATTACATTCGCTTGATAAGTTGGACATTTTGTTTAAGCTTTATGTCGATAGGTGGCGCTTCAAAATCTCAAGAACATGGAAAAGGCTGTTATTTATTAAATATTTATCAATATAAAGGAAATGTAAAATTGTGAAATCAAATGCAAATTAAATATAATAAATTTAGTACCACTTCCTAATATGGTATTAGGTCATTATTCTTACAGTGACTTTGTCGCAGTATCAAAAAGTTTTAAAGTGCATAATTTACATTTTCATTACATTATTCCAAAATTATATTTTAAAGATTGTAAATTCAAAATAGTATTTATCTCTATTTGTTTTTCTCTATTTTCTGTTAAAATGTAATTATTTATGTGTTTGTTAGCGTTTCACTCGCAAATTTGACCCCAAACATAACCTTATTTTATAATGTGAATTCAGAAAATATATAAATCCTACATAATTGACGGTTTTGTTGATTTTTGATGTAAATTATCATAAAGGAATAAACAAATAAAGATAACAATCTAATGTTACATGCAACAATATTTATAGAGTGTCAAGATCGCTAAAAACAATCTAATTTAGTAACCAATTAGGCAAAAAATCGCAGTTATTTTCATAAATCAGTATTCACTTGTTATAAATTAGGTAAATGGCATTTAAAATAACGTTTCTCCACAAATAATAACCTAAAAGTGAATACCGTAAGACTAAAAAGTTCCCAACTTCTCACGCACATTCGCATACATCCGCGCCCAGCGCCAACCACCGAAGCAGATACAACCCTCTGAAGTATAAAACCCCTGCATATTCAGGAAGTCTCGATTTCATAGTCAAAATTATAGTCTACTAGCATTCGCTCGCGACTCCGCACACGCAGAAATAAAAAAATAAATAAAAGTAAGTAGCCTAAGTGTCCTTGCAGACTATCCTCTTCTTCTATGCCAAATTTCATTGAGATCCGTTCAGCAGCTTAGGCTTCAAACTCTAACAAACATCCATCCATCTTCGCATTTATAATATTGATAATATTATTCACTCTTTGGTTTATCAAATGAAGGATATCAATTTGTTCAGTACCGGCGTCAGGATAACGCGCGGACGACCTGGGCTCTGGAAAGAAAGGGGCACAATAAGTCTGTAAACTACACAATCTCACGTAAGACTGTTAAACTTAATAAAAAAGGGGGCGGCGTAAAAATATCGCCAAAGGCTTTGTTAATGGTATGTATTTCGGCAACTGCAAGCCAATTATTCAAGCATTATACTCGTAGATATAATAAAGTCGTACGTCGTCAATTTTTTTTTGCAAAATATTAACGGTTTGTATTAAAATTAAGCTGTAATTCGATAATACGGAAGTTCTGCCGCAATTACACTTTAAGGCACCTTAATTATAACTTAAAAGACCTTTAAAGTAGACGTTTTTTGTCAAGGTACTTTTTAAAGCAATGATTTTATTACTTATATCAGAAATGTTACAATTTTACTCGGATCTGAATACATTACGAATGTTACGATATCGAATAGGCTTTCAAACTTTCTCGAAGGATACAGCAATGACATAAAAAAACTTGTTTGATATTAGAATTTATTAATCAACGTGACGGTTGAACACATTAATTTAAATGTATTTTATTAATATAAAGTATATGTTTAGATGTATGGATGTATGAATGGTTGTTTTATTATAAAGAGGAAAGATTTTTATTTTTATATGTATTGAAATAACTCAAAAACTACTGGGCCAATTTCAATAATTCGTTCATCATTAGAAAGGTTATTTTATCTGTGAGTAACACAAGCAATATTTTTTTAATTTTAGGCGGAAGAAGTCGCGGGCAACAGCTATTTGATAATAGTTTTGTGCAAATCATGTTTCAGGGTGTAAAAATGCATTTGTAGTCAGGGACGTCATTAGGATAGGATAGAGTCATTGTGGTAAGGCGTCGATGCAACCACCCAGGGCGTTGTACAGAAATGGGCATCACGGGTCTACAAATTACATTCTCACATAAGTCTGTTAACCCCATTCAAAGCTAGTAAAAATGGAATTGCGGTACTAATATCGCTCAGGGCGCTAGAATCGCTAACACCGGTACTGTATTTATAGTAACTAAATGAAGCCAGCCAGATGGACAAAGGTTATCATTTCTTGGACGACAAAAGATCATTATACGATAGCAAATTATATCTAAACTAGCTGTTCCCATGCGACTTCATCCGCATGAAATTATAAAAATTTCATTTTACTGGTCACATTTGTCAAATTATCAATTGAATGTCAAAATGATCTGACATGATGTCAAACCATGGCAACCTTGCTTCCTTGATGTTGGCAACAACTTATGGTCTCTTTTCCACATTCTCTCTTCCAATTTATAGGCTAAAGCGTGACGTAAGTGTAGGGTTTTTTATTTAAAATAGAGTTATTCGAAAAAGTGCTGTGATTTCTGACATCTTAGGCAACAAAGAAGTGTGTGTTTACGCTTTATTATATTAGTATAGATATAGATGGATCACATATTAACTGAGTCGAAATACATAAAGGAAGCTATTATGCGATTGTAAATGAACATTTACGAACAATGTTATAATTGTTATTAATAAATTACGCCATTGAACTGAGATGACTTCAGGTCTATATCTCGTTTCGGTCCATAATGTAAATAGTACGACACCATGCAAGGCGGCCATTACGATATTTATTTTAGGATAATCCATCCATCTTCTTATCGTACTAATATTTTAAATGCAAAAGTTTACATGGATGGATGTTTGTTAGAGTTTGTAGCCAAAACAACTGAATTTTGTTTTGGCTACAAACTCAAAAACTGAAATTTGGTATAGATGTAGATTATAGTCTGGAAGAATGCATAGGCTCACTTTGTTGTTTTTTTTTTAATTTCACGCGGACGGAGTCGCGGGTGAAAGCTAGTAATAGTGATAGATGGATGTTCTGTTAGAAAGTTTCTTCAGAAAGGCTTAATCAATCTAGATATAATATGGTATAGATATTAGAACATAGGTAGTCTGGCAGAACACAGGCATAATTAGTTTTTAATTATGCCTATATGTTCTGCCTTAAAAAGCCTGAGCTTTTGACTGCGACTTTAAGTCGACTTCACTATAGTTATGTCACATAGTGAAGTGAAATGCTTTACTTGACATAGAATTCTCGCTCAAGGCGTCGCTAACCCTGCCTAAAATTGAACGTAATAGGTATGGCGAATAGATTGTCAACGTGTAAAGCATTGGTTTAAAAGTTAATGTGAAATTAAATACGATGAAATTAACCCAAAAACTAGTTCAATATTCAAAGTAAAGACAGCCTACAAAACGTGAAATTGCTGAATCACGATATAAGTACATAAAAGCGTTATATTTCACGACTAAGCAGATATGTAAAATTAATGTCACCGTCAGATTGTAAACATTGTTGGTTTCTAATCTAACTGTAAACTTGTGAAGTGTCAATTACTCTAAAAATCATTGTGATTTAACGTTTCATGTCAATCATAAACATACATTTTAATGCGATGCAAGCAAAAAAACAGAATTCATTATTTGGTTATTTATTTACAATCAACGGAGAATTGACATGTCAAGGCTTTTTGCCAGTATCGATAATTCCTGTGGTTAAGTTACTATTTGCTTTAACCTTACAATATAACTAGGAATAGTCGATAATTTCATATGATATAGGACAACAGGTATTTCGAATTATAAATAGATTTGTTGATATATTTGACAGGAAGAAAGAACTATAGTATCATCATCATCATCATCATCATCATCATCATCATCATCACCAGCTCACTATACTTCCCCACCGAGGGGCTCGGAGCCTACCCTAATAAGGGGTGACTAGGCCATAGTCAACCACGCTGGCCAATTGCGGGTTGGTTGACATATAGTATATTTGGTAAAATTCTAAATTGACCAAATTTACAATGTGACGGCGACATAAAATAAAACAGCCTATTTTGTACCTTCACGGTACAAAGTTATACGTCAAGTGCATTACCGCGTGGTAGTGGCCGGGTATCAGTCTCATCGGATGTGTTAGCCGTCCGCGCGTTCTGTGTTCCAAATCGTTACAGGATTATTTGCTCCATTTTATATGTAATGGAACATTGGAAGTGGAACATTTGAACTAGTGTTTGGTGTACATTTGTAAGTTGTAATTATAAAATGTTTAATATAATTGAAAAATAATAATAATTTAAGTATAGAAAATAATTTTACTATGACTGTATTTGTTCTTTTTATATGTATTTATCGATTAATCCTTTTATTATAATTAAGTTCTAAAGGAGCTTTTTGATGTCTAAAGTTTAAAGCTTATTTGATATACGTTGAGATGTTATTTTTTCGTATAGAAGAAATAAATTGAACGCTTCTAAGTTAGATAACACAGAAATTGAGTTAGTAAAAATTGTTTTTTAATTAAATGTATTTTCAAACATTGAAACTAAGACAAAACTGTTCTGTAAATTGTTTTTTTTTTTAATATTCTAGTCGTATAATTTATGAAAATATAAAAGTTCAAAAATCTGTAATAAGCTAAATTGAAATGTATTTTACAATTAACAATAATAGATTTGTATGCATTATTTTAAATAATATTGCTTAAAGTTGTTTTAACAGTATTATTGTAAAACAAACATATTATAGTTAACAATAAAATAGGCTTTTAAGAGCTTCTACGGCAAAAAATAATTTTAAAAAGAACTATATTAAACAGATAACAAGTATCCGGCGGTATCAACTATGCAACGATTTTTCACGTTTCAAATTTCCTTCAACAAAACAAACAAACTTACCTTACAAAAGGCATCCTTATTTCGACTGGATCGTAATTTAACAAAATTAAAATAATATACACACTTAAAAAACAAAACTTCTTTTTCGGATCACTAAAAAGATGATTGTTTTCTATTCATGCAATCGTTGCGTAGGCCTAATGCGTTGTGCATGGACTATGTTTTAATCTATGTTATCCAGGGGTATTGAAAACCGGTTACGGTCTTCGATTTTCAAAAACGTTTTTAGTTTTTTTGATGCTCATTTGCATTTTACTTTTAAACTTGAACATGTAAGCTGATATAAACGGAGCTTCGCTATGGGTGCGAGTTTAGTTTTTTTTTTTTTGAGATTAGAACTATAAGGGTAACAAAAGTCTAATAATTCCAAAACCTTCAAAATTTTTTGTCTAAATTATTAAAACGTATTGGAGGTTATTAACGCTAAATGAATATGTAACTCACGTTTTATAAGATCTGTTTTACAAATTAATTTCACTTTATTTCACAATTTTTTAAAAAGGAAAATGAAACTCAAAATGGCCGCCATATACAGAATTTTGTGACCCTCTTTTGAATCAATTTGCGTTTTCAATCTAATCGAAAAATGCTAAATATTAAACTAATTCAACTCGTTGTGTTTGTTGAAATGCGATAAACGCAAAAACTAGAATAAAAATCTTTATCAAGTTTAACGAAACTTTGCATGATCTTTGACACATAAGATTATTTGTATTATTACGACTTTTGACATTGTTATGACTATGACTTTAGTATTGAAAGCGGGTTCAGATGGTTATAGTGCTCCAAAATTATAAGTAGCAAGGCAATACGACAAGGAACTGGCACTTTTTTATTTGTTAGGAAGGTGCAAGTAAATCATTGTAATTTTGTTCTACTGATGTCCACCGGGTCATATAGCTTAGTCTAACTTAAGCTATAACCTACGTAATAACTAATTTCCTTATCGTGACTTGATTCGCTAGAATTGTTGTATATTAAATGAAATATAAACGTCTTATAACGTTGATGTGTTTTTGTATTGTTTATAGCGAGCGTCTGCGTAATGCAAGAGATTTCCTGTTTACGAATGACGTAGTACCCGCATGCGAGAACCTTTTATTAGTCGTCAGAGCCCGCATGCGTTCGGTGATAGTCTTTACTTCTTACCGCACATTATACGCCTTAATTAGTCCCCGCACGACCCTTGCACCGGCTGATTTTTTAAAGGTCTTTAGCCGAAATGCGGGGAATTACCGCATGCTGTATAACGACCGAGTTGTAAACTATTGACATTGCTTTTGCTCGCGACTTTGTCCGCGTGCGTAAATATGTGTTATGTAATAATATTCCAAAGGCAAAAGTTTTTTTAAAGCAGTCTACAAATATTTCAGAATAGCTGTTCTCGGGACTTCGTCCGCGTGAAAGTAAAAAATAAACTAAATGTGTGGCCTATATTACTCACTTATAACGTAGCTTTTAATTGGTAAAATTGGCTCATTAGGTTTTGAATTATTTTTATAACAAAAATACAAATCTCCTCTTTATAACATTAGTATAGATTATTCGTTACTTAAAAAATACAATTAGGGAGTATTTGTATTGTATTCTCTAGTTATAAGTACCTAATTTAAATATTTACTTGAACTGTTTTTATTTAAAAATGCGAAAAGTACTAAAATGAGAGATTTTACCTTAACTTAGATTCCTGTGAACTTGATATAATGTTAATCTATGTTAACTAGAGATTGTTTACTCCTATTATTTCAATGAAAAACTTTTTTTACAGAGTTATAAACAATGAGATCGATTTAATTTTTCTGATTGATCTGATTTACAAAAGGAAAATGAACTGAATTTATGTAGTATAGTAATTATATTCTAAACATTGTACGGTTTCCGATCCACTTAGGAATCCGTATAGCGACCGTATGCGATCCTTTATCCGTACACATTACTAATTCTGTAATTTACATTACAACTTCGCTAATGTAACAGTGGTAGTACCCGCTTTAACATCTTCGCACGAATGGGCCGGCTCGCCCGGTGTAATACCACGACCACACAGAAAACAGGCGTGAAGTAAAAGGAATTCTGCGTTTCGTCCGATGAGTGTGGTGCCGGAGGCCTAATTTTAGTTCCTTTCCCTTTCCACTCTTTTTCTGGAGAGGAAAGGATGGGAAGGAAAAGCAGATTTGACGATAAGTGGGCATATCCTCTTTATATGGGTCTAGTCCTCCGTCCATTGAGGGTAGGCAATGCTCCTGCAATTGCAGATGTCTATGGGCAGCGGTCACTTCGCTATTTCGGCGGATTCAGGTGGCCGCTCGTTCGTTTGCTGCCTTATAATATAAAAAAATGCGCCATCTGCCATCAACTCCTCTTCCCATCCTCTCCTAATAGGAAAAGGGTGAGAATGGATATGGAATAAATATTGACACGCATGCTCCTTAGGTGAAACTAGGAACTGCTTCTACTTCACGCCTGTCTGTATAGATGAAATGGGTCTAGGCTAATAACAGTGATGACGGTTATGATCATCCCCTCCCCTTTCCCAATGGAATACAATTAATTTAACGGAATATTATAACTTTTACCATAATCATAACTGAGTCCTCCCAATGATTGACAATGATGATGAAAATGTAAATAATAACCAATAAAAGTTACATAAATCATTTGCTAATTTTACTTATCATTTAAACACTCATAAAATTAAAGCATATTAAAAATCTGAATTCTAACTAAAAAAATCATTAGCATTCATTCTCTGCATTAATACAACCGTCTAGAAACTCTAATAAATTTGATAAAAAAAGTGTTTTAACAGTTGTAATCATAAAATGATTTTTTATGTAAAAATACGACTAAATTAATACCGTTTAAAATGTTTTGAAATAAACAATATTGCCTATAATAAATTGATTAAAGACTGAACATAACATAGTGGCTATGGTTTCCGCAGCTGGTTTCGGCGCGTATTTTGATGGAATGAATCCAGCCTACCCATATACGGGCACAACGAAAACTTAAGTAACTGCGAAATACAATTTTGTAGGACAGTGCGTGTACGTATGTAACTCGACTTCTATTAATCACATAGTAATGAGATTGAGAGTCCTATGCTTATGTCTTTTACTTTCCATTACTAGGTTTGCTCGCGACTCCGACCGGGCGGAATTAAAAAAAAGTAATTAGTAGCCTGTTCTTCCAGACTATATTCTACATCTATGCTTTTTATCGAGATCCGCTCAGCCGTTTAGACTTTAAACTTTAATAAATATCCATCCACCTAAACTTTCGCATTTATAATATTAGTTAGATTATACTTTTTGTTCCGACGTCTGTAGTAGTCACTGTTGTATCATAATTGTCGGTTCTCTCATTTAAGAGACAAGGTAATGATCTCAAATATTTGAAGTACCACTCCAAACTTCCATTCCGTGACATTGAAAATTATGTAACATTCGACTAAAGACAATTGCTTCATTCAACTCAAATAAATTACTAGCCTATTAAGGTCATCTTTATGGAATACCAATCTATAGACAGAGCCGATATTATTTCTTATTAAGATATTTAAAACTGGAAACGTGACAAAACAAGTTTTTTTTGCAAAATATTGATAATAAAAAGCTCTTTTCTATTTCCTTAAAATGTTATCTGATGATCTTTATATAAATAAAAGTAAAATAAATTTGAAAGTGACAAATATTATTTGATAATTATTTTTTAATGGTTCGTGTCTTTTATTTTATTTTTAACAAACTTCCCAAAAGGAGGTTATAGACATAACTAAAGTCTATATACTTATATACAAATCTACATAACTATATAAACATATCCAATAAAATTGCTTTTGTAATAAAAAATCGTCGATCGATCGAGCATCGACCTGTGCGACCGCTAGTTTATTTAAATAAATATGTGTATATTTAATTAAAAGTATGGACCTAATAAATTTGTTGTCTTATCATAATATATAAATTTCATTTTGCAATATGCAGAACAAAATTATTTAGATACAGACACATTGATATTTTTACTTATCAATACATAAATACATAATTCTAGACAAAATATGTTCTAAACTTTTTTGAACATTAATCAAAATATTTCAATTTGATTTATATTTAAATAAAAATAAGTATTTAATTTTAAATTATACTTGATATCCGGGTAAGATTCTTGTTTTCTACTCCAGGCGGTGCCGCACCTTACCAGCTAGGTTAGACAGATAAAATAAAACAGCCTAATGCAATTGATAGAGGTTTAACTTATACATTTACGTTATAACTTAATCATGTTCGCGTAGAATTAAAAAAAAACAAAAGTGAGTAGCCTATGTGTCCATCCAGACTGTTATGTACA